GCTTGAGCTACAGTAGCACAATTTGGCCCTTGTCAAAGTCGCTCAAATCCTCACACTGCCCATTTTTCCTGCTTCTAACACATCAACTTTGAGGACCAAATGTTCAGTTGCTGCCTAATATATCCCACCCATGACGGCTGTATTATAGCTGCTTTCAGCTTTCAACATTTTATTAGCAACTGGAGCCTAATGCAGGAGCTGAATGCATATACCACTTCAGTTTCAGTGCTGCCCCCACCCCCCTTTCTTCAGTCTTTTGAAGTTCTCCCCCTCTCTCTTCCCTTATGCAAGCGTTGTTTAAATACAGAGGAGCATGCCTCTGAGGTCCCACGCTGTCGTTACTCGGCTCTTTTGAGCTGCACCTTAATTGCATAACACACATACACCAGCTGGGTGAGGAATTCACAAGGCTAACTTCAAAGCCCGCTCTTGATATATTACTCCATAGTTTTGCTTTTCTCCCCTCTGCGCTGTCTCCCCGTCATTCATCTTTCCTCTGTGTGTTTAGAGTACGAGGAGGAATGGAGTTGCTGGGCTCCCTGCAGCGTCACCTGTGGACATGGCACTCAGAAACGCACCCGTTCCTGTGGATACGCATGCACTGCAACTGAGTCACGCACATGTGACCTGGAGAGCTGTGCTGGTAAGAAGCAGAAACTCTGTGATGTGGCAAGATTGTAAAAATATAAGTTTTGCAACCACTTTTAATTGGATAGTAAGAAGATTTTTTCTTTTTTTCTTTTTAAAAGAGGAAGAGAAGCATGCACATGTGCACAACAACTTTATTTGTTTTCTTGTTTTATTTGATGTATTTCTGATTCACATGTGCACTGCCCAACTTTTGCAAATCATATTATGTGAGCATAAGAGAAGGAGCCTGAAAATAAGAGTTTCATTGCAAATGACTGTCTGCAATGTGATTTTGCAAATGACAGAACCTGTTGTACAATCAACAGCAGAATAAAAAGTCCATATTGTAATTAATGCACATTGCTGTGAGGGTCCATGTGAACTAAATTTTGTTATCTTACACAAAGGCCTGTACATGTAGACTGTTTGAACAGGTCTTTGAATGTAGACATGCCATTTGGTATTATCAGAAACGCATCCACTTCGTGAATTGGCATCTGTTTTCATTTATGTCCAGCCCCAGTATCACCAAGGCATACCACTCATAGATTTACAAGCAATATAAAGACCACAGTGGCTAAAGCCCACAAACATATGTTAAAGCAAGAGAACCTGCACCATTTGTGCACACCATATAGTGCACCTAGGTTGTTATGTAAAGCAGCAAGTGTTTAGATTTGCTTCTGGAAAGTGACCGGAAGATTGTCTGTTCAATCCCCCCAACCAGCTGGATACTTGCTGGATCGGTGGGGAAAGTGGAAGGCAGCACTTGTCCCTCTCTCATTACCACCACTGTGGTGCTCTTGAGCAAGACCTTTAACCCCTTTAACTGCTCAGTGGCCAGCAGATAAGACTGTGGTTGTACTGGGAAGCCTGTGTCTTTGTTTATTCACAAATATTTTTGAGTTTGAAGTATGGGCATCACTATGATACACAATAAGCATTTTTGCCAATGCCCAGTATGCACCTGTTGTGCACACTGTGGGTGTCTTTAATTTGGTCACTTGTGCTGCTCACCATAATGTATGGTGCATTAAGCCATGTTGCCACTGCATTGTACGGCGCGACTCAACTCTACTCATTTTCAGTACCAGCTTGTTTTCTCTACTTTGCCGTTTATAAAAGTCTAGGTTGAGTGAATTAAAACAGAATGTCCGGTGCTGTTCCAGTGATGATTCCCTCTGACACATTAGTGGTTTCGAGTGTTTTCATGTCACATTTTAGTATCAGCTCACTTTGAACCTCTTGTTGAATGTCGTCTGTGGAATGTGCATAGGTGTATATTTAACTTACTTTATTCTGTCAATGCTATAATTATGTTTTTGACACCAACAGGGCATGAAGCATTTAAAGTCCACATTAAACAAAGGTTTACTTGTGCAGATTTACTTGTTTGCTTTTCATGTTTTTCAAGAGATAATCAAATCACTCCTGTCTTTCTTCCTCTGTCATGTAGACACTGCTATGTCAGTGACTGAACTGTCACCCATCCAAACGACTACCAGCACAAACTCCCTGGACACAAGTATGTATCTAGTGTGTGGGTATATTGTGTATATTATGTGTATATATATATAACAGGTTGCACTCCATGTTTTCGGCGGGTGGGCCTGTTTATGAATCATTCCATCCAATCATTCCAATCAGTTGTGGGTTACAGACTCAATCAATTGCATTGTGAGTGCCTGATTTTGATACCTAGAAAGTAAGGCCTTCAGTTTCAGAGTGACCATTGCTTCAATGCAGAATGAGGACAGGACAAACATTTTCAAGCCTATTTAGCTTGCTCTCTCTTCTACTCTATAATAAATATGCCAATCCATTTGGCATATTTAATCCACTCCCAAACCAGAGTGCACAACCTCAGTATTGCAATACTTTCCATTCTCTGAACAAGCAATGTGTTTATTGGTTTGGTAATAAATTCCTTTTATTACTCATCGAGCTGCTGAAAGTAATTTTTGCACTTTCTTGTTTGTGTTTCCACTGTATCTTAACTCAATTAGTTTTCACCTTGTACCTTTTCAAACTAAAATGTTTTTAAACATTTCAAACACCTCCCCCCCCCATCCAACCCCAAACCCAGATGTAGACAGCTGTGAGAAGTGGCTGAGCTGTAAGAATGACTTCCTCCAGAAATACCTGCATCAAGTGCTCACAGAGCTCCCCAGCTGCCCCTGCTCCTACCCCTCTGAGGCTGTTTACAGAGCTGTCAATATCCAGGATGCCAAACTTCGCAAGACCTACCGCTGGAGGGATGCTAGCGGACCCAAAGAACGGTTGGACATCTACAAACCTTCAGCCAGATTCTGTGTCCGCTCAATGCTGTCATATGATAGCACAACATTGGCAGCGCAGCACTGCTGCTACAATGATCAGATGAGACTGATAACTCGAGGTAAAGGAGCAGGAGTGCCAAATTTGATCAGTACAGAGTTCTCACCAGAGCTGCATTACAAAGTGGATGTACTTCCTTGGATCCTGTGCAAGGGGGACTGGAGTCGCTTTCACTCAGCAAGGCCGCCCAATAATGGTTTAGACTGTGCAGATAACCCCCCTGAACAAGTGTTTCAGATGGAACTTAAAGAGGCCAGGGAGTACTGACTCTGTGGCGTTGTAGTATTGAACAAGAGGAGGACAATGGGAGACATAAAGTACTTGGTAGTTGGTAGTTCAAAATCACAATGTTTCTGTGCATCATGCATCAACTCTACCCAGGTAAAGTACTTTGGTGATGTTGCAAGCTTTGTTGTTGCAATCTTATGGCATCCTGCACAGTTACTTTGGTTTAAAAGGGGGACATAACTTTAGAAATATAAATGGAAGACATGGACAACTAATAGTGGTGACAGTGTTTTATACTCATATGTAGTATAAACAAAACTGTATAAACATATGTATAGCAGCAAAACTGAAATAACACTGGTGTTGGAACAATGAAAATCAGTGCTGAAGTGTTGCAAAGTATGTTTTACTAAGAGCCTTGTTAGTTAATCCCTCTTCCTGTATATTGCTGGTACTCTGCTGGGATGTGCTGAGCTAACATGAATATCTCTGATGGCAGTGGCATGTGTGTAGTTTGGAGATTTGTCTCAATATGATTAGTTTGAATCTGTGTGTAAATTGGTTAATATAAAAAACCTTCCACAAATACAAAAAATATTGATGTAAACTCTCAAATAAAAATATCTGCAAATACATTAAATTAATTTACAAATAAATTAAAAACATTTGTGACAATGTTCCCAACACTAACAGCTTCAATACATTTGTGAATCCAGTTTTTATTTGAGAATGGAAAATGCATCCGTGGATCTCATGCTGTGAATTTGCATTTTATACATACCCAGTTTTGAGAAAAGCTTTTCGCCAGTCCGATAGCATCCACTTGTATCAATCTGCCATTTTCAGAGAGCACATGATCACCTGCTGAAGACATCATCTTTGCATTTCAAATTTCACATTCCTGAAGTGGTGAGCTTGCACATACCTCTTCAGTTGGCAGTTATCTGGCCTATCTAGTTGCCCTGCATCCTGGCTACATAAGTCGCCCTGCACCGAAAATGTGTGCTAAAACAAACACACACACACACACACACACACACTAAGACTCTATTATTAACAGAATAATATAATGCACATAACAAATTGATAAATTATCATTTTTTTATTTATAAAATATTTTTACTTACAAAAGTTTACAGATTTTGGGGGGCTTTGGGAGGTATTTTATAGGTACAGATTACACATTTGTGTCTGTCTGTCTGTCTGTCTGTGTATGTCAGATGAGCTTATTTATTGATATATTTTAATCAGATCTGGTTTCCCAAGAAAGGAATTCCTGTCAAGCTGCTGTACAGGTAATAAAGTCAAATGGACCTCTGGACCATAGTTGTCTACTTGTTCATCGTACAAAAAATCTGACAGAATTATTGTCCAAGCATGTCTGGAATTTTCTTCTTATCCACATCAGGATTTGATACACATTGCATACTGAAATTACACTTTATGAATATTTTTCATGCCAAAACAAACCAAAAAAATATTTACTTCTCTTCACCCCTCTGAACACAGTATGGGCCCTATCTTGCCGATCTGAAACACAAGTGTCAAACGATGAACTCTAGAATCCTGACTGAAAAATCCTCAAATAAGATTAGTTGCTATGTAAAAAGTCA